TTAGTCTCCCTGTCTTTCTTCAACACTTCATTCAAAACCTTCATGTAGAAGACCTTTTCTGGTTCCTTAAACTGCTAATACTTTCCCCATAGGTTCATCTACTCCACATGTAACAAACTTGAATCTACCTATTTATTTACATCCTTTAGGACGTAAGTTCCTTTAGGTCAGGCAGTTTTTTTTTGTCTTTCTTTGTATCCCCACCACTTGGCACAATGCCTGGCATATTTTGTGTCTGACTCTTCCTGACCTCATTTGGGCTTTTCTTGGCATTTCCTTCTCCAACTCACTTTACAGATGAGGAACTGAAGCAAACAGGGTTAAGTGATTTCCCCAGGGTCACACAGCTACTAAGTGTCTGAGGCCAGATTTGAACTTAGGAAGATGAGTCTTCTTGACTTCTTGACTGTGCCACCTAGTTGCCCTAGTTGGTATTTAATAACTGCTTGCTGCTGACTAGAAGACAGACCTTCAGTCTACCACTAGTCTCATGCTCAAAGGCTTTTCCAGCCAGGCAGTACCCAACAGGGTTCGTATTTTGCTGGCATAAAGAAGAGTTGAAAAAAAATGCATTTCTTTGCTTTCTTTGAAGACTAAGGGGTTTGGAACATTATGTATGTTGTAAGACATGATTGATGTGTTGGCTATTTTTCCTGAACTTTTTTCTTTTCTTTAATCTTTGTTATAAGGAACAGATGGATGAGTAGGAGAGAGGAGAGAGATGTATTCAGAAATGAAGATAATTTAAATACAAAAGATATTAATATATAATAAGATTGAAAAAAGGACTTGGGGTCATTCTGTGTTATGATATAACATTGGAGTAAGATATCCAGGGAGAAATTGAATATTATTAACATGAAGAAAACCAACAGCAGCTTATCTACCGCTAGCACATTAAATTTAAAGTTCTTGAAGTTAAATGAATCAGTACTTGGCTTCTTCCATAATTCTCCTTATGGTTTATTGTGGAATTAGAGCTTTAATTACTATATCAATAGTCTGTTCTGGCAAAATTTGAACTTGTTAAAATTCATCTTCAATGCCTTCAATGTTTGCATCCTCTTCCTTAATTGGATGTCCCTGAGATTATACTTCATTCTCTCCCCTGGCCATCCTCTGTTGTGCTGTAACATGCTGACCAGTTTTCTTTATATCATCCCAAGATTTTGATCTTTTCCATTCTTCCACTCATCAAAACTTACGCATCTTTTGTCTTACCACCATAGGTCCACTGATCTCTGCTCATGTGTTAGTGAATGATAGTTAATGAGCCTAGGTTTGCCCATCTGCAAAATGGGAAAAATACTAGCACCTACCAATAGGGTTGCTGTGAGGATCAAGTGCTTTGTAAACCCTAAAGCCCCACCTAAGTGGGAGGTATTATTCTCCAGCTTAGTATAGTCTCCACTCTAACACATTAGGAGCCAATGGCCTGAGCTATTACTGGCTGTCTGATCGCTATTTCAGGACACGTGGAATGATCACTGCTCCCCATCTCCTACAGCCAACATTACGTGTCATTCGGTTTTCCCCTTAATCACATGCTAAATCATATTGTTAATTTACTGTTTCACATCTGTATGTCTTGTCTTCCGGAGTAGATCACAAACTTCTTAAAGATAGGTAGGTACTGAATTATATAACAGTAACAAAGCAGCGATAATCACTCACATTTTATAGTGGTTTAAGGTTTGTAAAATGCTCTCATTATAACATGTATTCATTTATTTTTGGCAAGGTGATTGGGGTTAAGTGACTTGCCCAGGGTCACACAGCTAGTTAAGCGTCAAGTGTTTAAGCCTGGATTGGAACTCAGGTCCTCCTGACTCTAGGGCTGGTGTTCTATGCACTGCACCACCTAGCTCCCCCTTATAACAATCTTATGAAGAGGTATTGTAAGTGTAATAGGGGACTGGCTAATGGGGTCCCATTTCTGGGAGTCTGTTCAACAGGTTCCACCTGCTGCCAATTCACATGGGAGTTTTGCTGAGCCTGCTTCTGAAAGTGTGTGATGAGGTTGAGGGCCCCAGCTCCCCAGTTCAGAGCATTTGCAGAAATTCTGCAATTGTTTCCTGTTAGTTTACTGAGTGATGAAGAAAGATCTTTCGATTGGCTGCTGAACTAGAACTGAATATTCATACAAAGGACAGTAATTAGTCAAATCAACCTCCCTTTTTCCTGATAGCAATCAAGGTAAAAACATGCCTCGTGCCCTCAGATGGGAACAGAGGCCTCAAATCCTTATCCACCTATCTGGGCCACTGTCTCTGTCCTGTTTTACTCTTTCTTCCTCTTAGGTGAGTGAGTGTAGGGGTTGGAATGGACTAGACCAAAGGTGTCAAACTCAAATAGAAACAAGGTCCACTAATCCATACATGAGGATCGCTGTGGGCTGCATATTTATTTAGATTTAACATGTAATACTCAAATCCAATTCAATTGCAAGTCATGTCATCATCTTCCTGATGTCATGGTCCTCTTTGAGAACGAAGGACAAACCACACAATGTTTTGTTATATTTTAATTTGTTTTGTTAAATATTTGCTATTTTATTTATTATTATTTAAAAATAAAATTTAAATTATTTACTATTTTATTTTTATTATTATTTAATAAACAAAATTTAAATTATTTACTATTTTGTTAAATATTTACATTTCAATCTGGTTTGGACAGAGTGTTATGCAGCTCACTGGCCATATTCTTGATGCCTCTGGACTCTGTGTGAGTTTTGAAAGAACCTCTAGACATCCAGGAACTTGATTGCATCCCAGAGTTTGCCAGTAGCTAACCCCAGTGAGGAGCATAGCCCCAAGGAGCAATCTGAGGGATCCATCCCAGAAGTCATTACCCCAGGCAGCCAAGGTACCCAGCAGCCTCAGAGTAACTTATTCTTAAGCTATGTGGCACCCAGAATGGACACTGATAGGGCAAAATATGGTGGCAGCCACTTAAAGTTGAGCCCATTCTCTGCAAGGAGGTGGTGGAGAGAAGAATACTTCTCAGTTAGGGGGAAGGTATTTGTCCTTTGGATCATGCCAAATTTTCTTAGTAATTATACTGTTTTAAGAGCTACTTGATTTTAATTGTTTATTGATGAGATTGAGAAGTTAATATTGATTAAGTGATATTGGGCTGCTAACCACTAGCAATGATATCTGGGGAATAAATCAGAGTGGGAGTTAGATGATAACATTAGAAAAATAATCCCATCTCTTGAGGTTACCCCTAGAATCCTTAGGTGGTAATATAGCTGAGCTCTGGGGACCCAGCCCTCCAGTACAAGGAGAGTTGGTGTTGGGAAAATAAGTACAGAGCTTATAAGGACCACATAAGTATCCTGAAGGGTAGTGAGGTGGTGCAGTAGATATAGCACTGGGCCTGGAGTCAGGAAAACCTGAGTTCAAATCTGGCCTCAGATACTTACTAGTTGTGGGACCCTGGGCAAGTCACTTAACCCTGTTTGCCTCAGTTTCCTCATCTGTAAAATGAATTGGAAAAGGAAATGGAAAACCAGTATCTTTGCCAAGTAAACCCCAAATGGGGTCACGAAGACTTGGACAGAACTGAAATGACTGAACAACAACAGGTATCATGAAATCTATTTTATGATATGGAAAGGTAATACGGTATGAGTAGTTAGAAAGCTAATCTAAAAACAAGGAAGAACTGTGTTCAAGTCCTGTCTCTGACACAGACTGCCTACTTGACCACATGGGTGCCTATTTGCACTATACCAATGAAACCTCTATTCTAGTCCTTATCCCCTATCTCTGTTCTGCAGATGAAGAAACAGAGGCTCAGAAAGATGTAGAGACTTGCCCAAAATCATAGGACTACTAAGTATCAGAATTAAGACTGAGACCTAGCTCTCACCTCCAAATTCAGTGTTCAACTTTTTGTCTCCCAGGGACTTCAGCATTTGACACCTGTTCACTGAAATAGTTTTTCTTTCTCCACTTCTACCGAGGGAGGAAATATAATTATATTAAAGTAAAAGCAATATTAAGTATGAGACCTCTACTCTCATTTTCTTTGCAACTTGTATGAAATAAAACATTTCACCTTTCTGGCATACTGGGCATACTGGTCAGTCTTCAGACCAAGCAAGACCTTTTGAAAGTCAGGGTTTAATTCATCTTTTGAGAGAAGATCTGTTGAACAGATTTGAAATGAACCCTCAAATTCAGCCCTAAGAGTCCAAACAAAAATGAGATAATAATCCAGTAGCTGAATCTAGAAGCCCTATATCATCCAGGTTAGCAAGGGCTTTTCTTTGCAAAGGGTAGAGAAGAAAATACAAATGCATATTGCCATGGATTAAGTGGAAGATATGTGCTTCAACAAGACAAATTGAAATAGGAAGGAACAGCATTTATAGATCCCAATTCATCCATGCATGGCAGCCAGATTCTAATTCAACAATGGACATTCTTTAATATAGGTGTCCAAGTTGTTTGGATTAAAATTTTATATTCTGAACTACTTAGGGACTTTGGATCAGTTTAAATTCAGAACTCTATATTAATTGATTGCAAAGTTTACTTTTTAAATTCAAACTACAGATAATTGGAACTCAATTCAGATATTCTTTAAAAGTCAAAATTATAATTCATTATTTAACTACTGAATTGTCTTGCTATATGTAGTTATAAAACATACAGTACATAAAACATATATAAAACTATATGTAGTTATAAAAACAAGGGCTACTTAAAGAAACTCAGTGGTATAAAGAATTTGTTTATGTATATTTTATATTCTTGTGGTTTCGTTTTTGTTTTTTTGTTTTGTTTTGTTTTGTTTTGTTTTGCATTACTTCAACAAATTTTCTGGGCTCAGAGGTTTCAAATTTCTCGATTGCTTTTCTAATTCCCTAGTAACTTTTTCCCTCCTTTCCATCTTCAATTCCACCTTAAAACAACTGCACAGCCGGCTAGACCAGCCCACAATTTAGCCCCTCCCACTTAGATGATTTTTTTTTTTAAACTTGTCCACGGCCAGGCACTGAAAAAGGAGCCTTGCAGAAAGCTAGTGGGATAGACGGACCTGAAGATTCTAGTATACATTCAGAACTGTAAGCAACATACTTACTCTTCCTTTTTTATTTTTTTTTTAAAGAAAAAAAAATCCAATAGTTGCTAGTTTGTCAAGTTTATCAGGCTAGAAAACCGTGGAAAAAGGCAAAAAAGCACAGATTTTTCAGAGTCTTCATGTGACTGGGCTTTTGAAAGGGGAAGCAGAGCCTTTAGAACGCCTGTTTCTTTTTAGCAAATGTGTACTTGTTTTACGGAGTCTAAGAGAAGAAAAACGTTCAGAAGAGGTGCTTTGCGTCGCTTAGAACCTTGAAAGAAGATTTTAAAGAGCAGTTAAGGTAGTGCTGCTACAACTTCCACGTGATGGTGTAGCCCAGTGATTGCTGTTCCATAAACTTTAGCAATGTGACTGCTTGACAGCTCAAAGAGTGTTAGGAAGAGATAGATTATATTCTCTTAATTGATTCTCTCTGGAGTTTTCTTTCTCTTTTCCCTGTTTTCTTCTAATTTCTTTCTTTTCTCCTCCTTTCCTCTCCTTCTCTATTTCCTCCTTCCTTCCTTCGCTTTCCTTCTTCCTTCACTTTCTCTTCCTCCTTCCCTCACTCCCACCTTTCTTCTTCCTTTCTCTGTCTCTGTCTCTGTCTCTCTCTCTCTCTGTCTCTCTGTCTCTTTCTCTTTCTCTCTCTTTCTCTCTTTTCTCTGGAAATTCCAGATGTTGCAATATGAAAATAGCTGGAGGAAGCAAAGATTGATGATAGAATCTGGACCAGTGATTTCATTGGCACTGGGAACTTTCAGGTGATGTAACTCTCTGCAATTTATGGTGTGAGAATTGTCTCGAGCACCAAAAGGGTAAAGTGACTTATCCTGAGTCACGCAGCCAGTGTGTCAGAGGCAGGATTTGAATGAAGGTCGTCATGACTTCCAACTCCATCTCTCCATCCACTATTTCACTGTGCCCCCAGACTTACACGATTTTGGCAATATTTGCTTTATGATGAGGCTTAAGGAGGGAAAGTAGAAAAAGCTGTTTCAGAGTGGAGTAGGGAGAAGACATGAAAAGGAAAGGGAGAAGTATAGATTCTGTTTGGTGGCTGTTTTAATTTAACTCAATTTTGTTTGCAGTTTGTTAGTTGCCTTTCACAATGAAAATTCTTTTTTTCTTTAAAAGGAAATGTAAAATTTTTCTTTGTTCCAGTTTGTTGAATAAGGTGATTTTCTGTGCATATGACATTTTCTTGTTCCATTCCCTACTCTAAATATAAGTAGAGATTTTTTGAAAAGTAGCTTGGGATTGAATAAAGATAAAAATCAACATTCTATGTTGATTTCAACATATTCTATTCTTCTATTCTATTCAATTCTATTCAACATATTCATATTCTTCTATTGATTTCAAGATAAAAGTGGTTTAAGTTGGATGATAGTAGGAAAGACACAGGATTAGGGGTCTGGCTAGCTAAGGTCTCATCTTGATTCCGCTATTAACTTATTTTGTGACATTTGCAAAGCTACTTAATGACCCTAGGCCTCAGTTTTTCATTTGCAGAATGACATGGTTAAATTAGTTTAACATCTAACATGAATGATCTATGATTCTACATGACATAATCTAACTTTATCACAACCTAGAATTATATTTTAATTTTATTAAAAAACTTATCTTAAAACACACAGCAAGGTATTTGCACCTGCTATTGGGCAATGATAAAAAACAATCAGCTGAAGCTGGGGGAGAGTGTTGGGATCAGCATTACGCCATTTATTTGTGCTGGAAGATGCTTGGTATCTAAAAAAAATTAATATCTAAGAGATAGTAAAAATACTCAGAATTCAGCAGCTACACTATACCACTGGTCCATGAAAAGCAGTTCAAAAAAGAGTAAGAGGGAATACTATTAGGAAAACTGGAAATGAAAAATAACAGCCCTTCTTCCAAGGTTTTACATTTCAGATAGCCCATGTGGCCATAAGCAAGCCTGTTTCTCTAGTTTATTTTAGGCAAGAGATTGAAATCCTCCCCTTTTAATAGAGCATTGTAAGAGTTAAATGGTAACTGAAGCAATACTTGTGAAATGTATAGAGAAGTAAATGTTTAATCTGTATTTGCAGAAAGCAGTTTACAAACTTCCTGTAGAGGAAGCACTTTTTTAATTGGAGAAAACATAACTCCTTTTGAACATTTTAAGTCATTTAGAAGTTTTTGACATGAATTCCTGCTTTAAGGTGTTGGGGAAAATGTGTGAAGTAGATTCCTGAGTCTCTGACGAAAAGTTCACTAAACAGAAAGAAGAGGCTCTTTGTTCGTGGCCATCAGTGGGCCTTGTTAGCCCTGCTTATCTGCAGAGTGTGGTACTTTCAAAATTAGAGCACTTTTAAGGCTGGAAGCAAATGGAATGTTTTAAGATATATCCATTTAAAAATAGTCTGCAAGTAGAAAAGAGGAAGACCTAGAATTAGTTTGTGGTCCATTTTTCTTAGGCATGTCTTACATTAGCCAACTCCTTTTTTTCATAGCTTTAGAAAATAAAAACTGGAAGCTATGAGACAAGTGAAAATATTCTCCAGAATGTTTTTATGATACGTTGAATTACTTGTTAAAACTTAAAAAGAACTAATTAGGTTGGTTAAAAAGAACTAATGGTATGGAAAGAAATTTTGACCCCAAACAAATTTCTTAAAGGCCCCTCTTCCCCTTACCCGTTCCTCCCAGCAGTGCAGGGGCTATTTGCATTGCATTTTAGGCTTAGTGAGACAGCAAAAAAAAATAGGACTTTTTTGTATTCTGCTTCTGAGTAGATCAGAGACTTGTGAAGAATTAACCCTCGGAAACTGAGTGCCAGATCTTTAGAAATTAGGTATCTCTGTCAAGTGTATGTGGTTAACTGAAGTCACTTTATGGGTATACATATATAGTAGTATTTCCTTGCTTCACAAGATGCATGGTTTCCTGTGTGATACCCTTTCTCCTTATCATTAGATCTCTGATAACACTTCACGTAATGCCTCTTAGGGAATTAGTGAAACCTAATTTGAGTTAGGTTGTAGGTTTGCACTGTATGACAATGTATTCTTGGTTGGTGTCTTGCACTACTAGGAAGTTCTGAGTAAATGCTGTGTCAAGGCAATGAGCTCAAATGATGACAACACAGTGATGGACAAGATGATGTCCACAGATCTTGTGGATATCTTTCTTTTTAGGCATTTTAGAAAGGTGATATTATGCAGTGGATAGAGGGCTAGGAATCAGGAATGCCTGGGTTCATTATGGCCTGCCTATGACTTATGGCCCTGTAACCTTGGGCAAGTCACTTAACCTCCTAATGCCTCAGGAAATTCTCTAAGACTGTTACGTTACAGAGAAGTTGTGGACCTCCACCAGGGAGAGAGGTTTCCATGTTCAGGGGTTTCCTACCCTGATGAATTATTAGGTCTAAACAAAAAAATAAATCATATTTCTAGAAATACACATAGTTCTACAGATAGGAGAAACCTGATAGGTGAATGAAATTATAAATTATATTTTATTTTAGCTTTCTGTTAAAAGTCTAACTTTTATCCTGAACTGTTCACCAAAGGCAAACCTATTTTTGCATGTGATACAGTAGGATGTCCTACTGAGAATGATTGTCCAATGAATTGGTGGGAAAGGTATGAAAAACTGAATGATTTTACAGAATCACAGATGCTTAAGGGAACTCAGTAGCCATCAGATCCAGCTGATACCTGAAAGGAATCCTATTTCCCTATAGTATACTTGACAAGCAGTTATCCAGCTATTTTTTGAAGTTTTCCAAGGAGAGAAGACCCATTATCTGTTAAGGTAGCCCATTCCACTTTTGGATGGCTCTCATTCTTAGCAAGCTTCTATCCACTGAGCCTCAGTTGGTTATTTTACAATTTCCAGTCAATACTCTTGGTTTTTCCTCTGGGGCCCAAGCCCAATAAATCCAATTTCTGCTCCCATGCTGGCCTTTCAGATCACCATCCTAGTTGACCTGCTCTGGAAAGTCACCACTTTATTAATGTCCTTTTTTAATCCATGGTGCTCCTAATTGAAGACGATGTGGTCTAATGTGGTCTAACCAGGGCCTAGTACAGAATAATATTGTGAATAGTGAGTGGTTGAGAAAATCATAACTGTAAAGTATAAAAATATAGATTCTACATTAGTACTGGGATTGGATGGTGATAATAATTATGATGATGACGCCAAGTATTGAACCCAGAAAGAAGGCAGGAATTCTACCACTGAACAACTGATTACTGGATAACAACCACAGCAACAGCAATAATAGTAACTTGGAGCACAAGAGGAAAAAAAGGAAATCACTAGAACTAATAGTCTACATAGAACTGTAGGATTGTGAGAAACCAATATTTCCTACTTGTATTCTCAAACCTTAAGCAATGTCTTTCAAGACAGTTACTTTTTTCCTTGTTTTGTTTAAGGGTATTCATTTATATTTTTTTTTCCACACTGGCTAATTCAGTTGCAGAAATAGTGGTATTAAGTTTATTGCCTTTTCCACTATAGAGAAGCTTCTCTCTCTGTCTCTGAAAGAGTGAAAGAGTAAGGTTGTATACCTATAATATCAAGATGGCCTTCATAAAATTTGATGCCTAGAGCTAAACTTCAGTCATTGATAATCTTAAAAAAAAACTTAAAGGGTTTTATGAGGGATGATCTCCATGCTGAGGTGGAGGAGTTGGACTGATAAGACAGGAAGAAATGGAGGGACAACATGACATATTTGAAAGAATACTGGATTTGGGGTTATAGAAGCTAGGTTTTAATTGTGGCTCTGTTATTCACTCTAATTTAGAGCAAATTGCTTAACCTGTACCTTAGTTTTCTCATCTCTAAAACAAAGAGTTTTGAATTAAATATCTTTAGGAACCTTTCAAATTCTAAATCTACAACGCTATGATTCAAAGAGATGTAAGTGGGTGGCTTATTCTTGGTTATCAGGCTCTGAGTACTGGATGGAAGTATTGAGGAAGGTTGTAGAGATTATAGGAGATTATATTATATAATTAT